CACACACACACACACACACACACACACACACAGGAGGGGCCAATGCAAGCTGTGAAAGAAAAGAAAGTAAAAAAAAATTAAGTAAAGAACTCAAAGTTTAAAGGTACGTACAGCTCTAAAGGGATGGTCAACAATATTTTCAGGTTGATATTGATATATGGCAGGCTTCATCAAAAACTGCTGCTTAGTACCACAAGTGTTTTAAAAGAGTTATCATTTTTATTTCTTGTTATTATTATTTTCTATAATTCTGGCTACTAACACTATTCCCAATGCAAACCTGCATGGTTGTTGCTTTAATGTTATCACAACCAATGTTCAAGCCTTTCATTCGCTAATTTTTGTTCAAGACAAAGAAGAAGGAAACCAACACCCCATGTAGATAGGGAGGTGTATTTTCGATAGATTTAGACTATAACGTATGAATATGAGCCCCAGTAATAGCCTCGAGTATGTTATTGTTAACGTAACTCCTCAGCCAGAGCCGGTCGGCATTAGTCTTATCACAAACATCTCTTCTTTTACCAGCGATCTACTTCTTTGGATATTGCTAGCTAATAGCGATCAACTACCTACCTCTGTCGCAGCAAGTCTTGTGCTTTAGGATCGTGAAATACGACGATATTTATATCAAAAGTCATACGCAAGCACTGACTTGCCGGTGCCTGCTGTAAACATCGTGCGTCAGACACCGTACCACGTGACACCATGGCAAACACACTTCCGGGTTAGAAGTCGAATGCGCTCGGATATTACTCGGCCGTTTTCGCTCGAGTTGAAAGAACTAATCGATATCTACGTTTTATGTTGATGATAAAAAGGAATGGAGTTGAAGAACAAATGCTCTACTACAGCATCCAAGTTAAGGTCTTCAACTTGGTTTATTATGCGTTTTAGGCCTGTGTATTTTTGTTTTTATTTTAATTTATCTCTCTGCCCATATTTTAAAACTAGGCCTACTGCAATTTTGATTAAAAATAAGGTTCCTTAAAATTTAGAAAAAAATGAAATAAAAATAATTATTATTATGACGATAATAAAAGCAAATAATCCAATTTATCAAGTAATACAGGCAGGCACCTGAAAAAAGACAAATTTTTTTGAAGATGTAGGGCCTATTATTCGAGGCCCCCTACTATTCGCCCAATGGCGGCATGCCCATGCCAACCAAATGCCAACTGGGATGTAGCTTTTGAGCTAAAAAGTCTAATAATTTTTTTAAACTTCCAGATGAAGTAAAGGTGTCTCTTTGCTTAGACCTAGGTAAGCCTACGTTCCCAATTTACAACAGTTCTCTTATTGATAACTCATTCATTTATTGTTATTCGAAGTCCCGGTGTAACGTGACAGAGTTACCTCCATGATATAGACTCCGCTTCCCATTCAGTTGTACAGGTAAGCCTCGCCCTAAATTTTAACCCACTTAGGTCAGGCTAACCCTAGCCATTACAACTGAATGGTGGACGGTCTATTGAACCTTCCTGTCTGTTATATTACATGGAGCTCAGTTTCGTCACACCGGCACATTCAGGGCCGTAGCCTGAGAAAAATGCCGGGGGGGGCAGTAAGCGGA